GACCAGATTCGGAGGGCGGAACGGATTAACTGGATTTACATTGAACCCTATGGGGAAATTTGTGTCGGGTTATGACCAACTCGGGATATGCCCAGAGTCACGGAACGCATTAAGTTCGTATCCCGAGGTGCCACTGTACTTTGGATGCCTGGGGGGACAGGAGTCCAATACAATAATATTCCGATAACAATAATATGTACCAACATGTAAATGAGGTTTATTTATAAAACACTTGCACATTAATCAGTTATCAACTGTAAAATCATTTTTCATCTCCAGGTATTTTAGGTCCATGCAGAGGAACACCTGTTTCATATTGTACTTGGGAAAGATAGACTGTATTGATAACTTCCCCCAAATCTTCCCTCCAGATGTGTTAGATGATGCTCCCATTATTCCCAGCTAGCTAACAAATTTGGTGGGCTTTTGTCTGGGGAAGCCTGGCACTGCTACAGAGAGACAGAAATATTGCAATTGTATCCTTTATAAAGTTGCATTTTATGCCCTAGGACTTATTTGAAAGTAATTTGCCATTTCCTTCTTCTAGGATATTACGTATAATCTTACCTATAATCCTGGAATTATCTGGTAGTTTCCTATGCAAATACTAGTCAGGTTCAGCCCTGAATTTTCTGAGGTCATCTGAGGTTAGTATTTGCATATTCTGAGCACACACAGTATAACACATGGCAACTGCCAGTCAAGTTTTAATTTTTATTTCAGCATTCAGGTGGAGCTCATGTGAATCAAACCGAAGGTACAGCAGCTTCTTTCGTTCTGTTCTGTACTGATCCAGAACAAGAAAATTGCACAAAGGGGGGGGGGAACCCCTTCCATCAGCATCTGTTAATTAAAAGTACAGTCCTCTGCCTGCTTACTCAGAAGTAAGCCCCATGATTAGTGAGGCATTTTGTCAAACAAGCATATACAGTGTAATTGCCTACAGTTATGATCTTATTTCAGGGAGAATTCTCTTGGGGATAAGCCATATTAAACTCAAATGAACTTTCTTCTATGTAGATTACATAAAATTGCTCTGGTTATCTCAGTAGAACCAGGGTATGTTTTCATACACACAGCTGTGCCTATTAAAATAACATACTTGATGATCAGCAACAGTTCAATTTCAGCAAAATCTTTTGTTGGTAACAATCACTTCATCCCAGAAGATTTCAAGATCTGTAATTGCTTCAAAAGTAGAGTCATACTCCATTTAAAATAAATAAATTAAAAAATAAAGGGTATATATGCTTTCCGGCATTTTGGATAGTGCTTAAATTTGTTTAAGTAATATTCGTGGCACAAAACAGCACTTAGTGCCTGGTTAAAAAAGACATATGTCACCACTAGCCACCAAGTTAAATTGTAAAATCCAAACGTGACAGCCATTGAGATATATATGAGAAATTCTGCAAAATAATGAGGACAGGACACCATTTCAAACCAGTCATCAAAGGGAATGCTGTGATCCATGGTGAAAACTTTTCCTAAAACAAACAAAAAAAGAAAAGTAGCTGTTGACTTCAGCTAAGTGAGCAAATCTAGCAGTGTGATTAGATAGTGACTGGAAAGAAAGCAGCGAGGCTATGGCTTTAATAAATCCCTTGGCTCTATTTGGCTCTTTTCCCAATTACATCTTTGCCTCATTTAGTGACCACAATCCAGTCCAGCAACTTTGTCGTTAAGTGAAATGATCACTTAGTGAACATGTGACTGAGAAAGCAAGAGAGAGATGCCGTGAAGATCACTGGTTGCTGCTGTCTCATTCAAAGTTATCTTGGATGGTGTCATGTGCCTGACCTGTTTTTTTTTCCTTTTTTTTGCCCCCTCACAGGGTGGAGAGATTGCTTAAACAAGCTATTTCTTCCTGAGCAACTTTTCTCCACCGTGCAGTGCATCCCTAAAAAGTGCTAACTGAAAGTTAACAAGCTCAGCTCTGTGACCTTCATTAGTTGATTAGAACCCTCCAGGAGCTTGCTCTGCTGCCTGAAACTGATCAGATCTTAATCAGCTTCACACTGAAGGCTTTTGTTGTCAGGTGCAGGAAATTTGGTCATAAATGTATACATTGGTTGGAAAATGAATTTTTTATTACATTCATATTCGTGAATGGTTGCTAAATGAGGTAGTTGCTAACCAAGGAGTGACTATTTATTTTCCAAGACAAAACTAAGGGCTTATTTTGGTCAATTCAGCAGAACCCTCCTCTTCACTGTGATTACATCTGTTTCTGGCTTTCTTTAGCAGCAAGCCTTCTCTATCTCATGCTTTACTTGAGGTACAGGACATCCAATTCGGCCAAAGGACCTGTTTTTCCTGGATCATATGATGTATCAATGATTGTGCCCTGGACCCATCCAAAATAGATTCTTCTCTCACATGTTATGGACTGTGCCTATATAACTACATCTAAACGTTTTCCCAAGTAGATATTCTAGCCCAACCTTCCCATCAGGTGGCTTCAAACTGTGTTCAACATCAACGGCCATCTTCTCCAGATAGCATGGCCAATGAGGACTGAAATCTGCTCTTACTCTGGCTCCAGTTCAAACTCCCTAGGCCTGTATTGCTAATAGTGGGCTTTGTCCAAGTGGCCTTCGATGTAGAGCAAAACCAGGATGCTGGCAAAGGGTGCCAAGCAGTCCCTTGATCCAAAACATGTGTTGCTACTATTCTGTCTCCCAACATCACTTTTCTTTCTGGCTCCACCTAAGAGCCTAGCTTGAGGGAAAATGCTAAGAAGGACAACAAGGGGTATCTGGAGTGACTGGGTTCAACAACCCTCAATCACACATATATTTGGTTCCTTAAATTGAATTCCCTACCATTTTACATACATGATTGGAATGTATCTGTATTAGGGTTGTGTGGCATTTTGGATCCAAAGCCAAAAAAGGTGCTTTGAAATGGAATAGGTATGCACACCACTCAGAGGGTCCTTAAAAGAAACCGTTTTCTGGGCTCACATGGAATCTACTCAGTCACAGGAAAATACTGTTTGAGCTAAAGGAAATACCAACACAGTACAAGAAGGTGCTGTGGAGCAGGTATGGGTACACAGTTGTTGGTACATTATTAAGTCAAGCACAACTTTTCCTGGAATTGGGCGGCCACCATACAATCTCAGGACAAGACCCAACTTTTTTAAGGAGGCACCCACAGGGTGCAGTGTGTAGTTACATCACTCCAAAGCACCTTTTTGGCTTGGCATTTGCAGCACTGCACATCCCTAATCTGGATTTAAAGATTTAAGTCTGTTTCTATGTGTGCTTTGTACCTAAATATCACCAATGTTCTATGAATGATAAACCAAGTATTCTAACAAGGGCTATACTGATGTATCTGACCTGGGAAAGACTAAAAAATATTGACTAGACCAGCAAGAAACTATTTTACCTGAGCTATCTTTTCGAAGATTAGCAAGAATTATATGACATCTGTGTTGATGAACAGAAGCCCAACAGAACATCAGAAGTCCTAGAACATGGTACCAGCAGACTATCAGCGAGTGATCTTTCCCTAAATTAAGAGAAACAGAGTATATTTATTCATTTAAAATATTTTGATCCTCCTGCTCTATTAAATTCAGATTTCACTGTGGTCTACAGTAAACAGATATTAGCGTTATTTATTGTATGTCACTCTGAAGTCTGAATTTTATAATATTTGTAGCAAAATATTGCACACGAATTTTTAAGATGCCATTCAGAAACAGTATATTATAATAATAATAATAATAATAATATAATAGTAATAGTAGTAGTAGTAGTAATGCCAAAGGCAGCTTTACTTAGAACAGCTTTATATCCTGCGATGATACCTGTAACACCATCACACAACATCTGCCTATCATAGGTCCTTGGGAAGGACTTGATAGGTGGATAAAAATGCCAAATCCAGCCTAAACATCTGGCTGACTATGCGACCAACAATAATAATAATTTCCCACTTTTTAAATATATAACTCAAAGTGGTGAACATATCTAATAATCCTTCCTATTTTCCCCACAACATCTCTGTGAGGTGGGTTGGGCTGAGAGAGTGTGACTGGCTCAAAGTCACCCAGCTGACTTTCATGTCTAAGGGAGGCCTAGAACTCACAGTCTCCTGGTGTCATTATAGAATTTAAAATACTGGGGTAAATAAGGCATCTAAAATAGGGTTACAATAACTGGGCTATGAAAATCCAGAAGACCTCCAGATGTTTACTTCTAATTCTATGTTAAAACATTAATTAAATTATTCTCAAAGTATGGCCATGCAATTAACTCTTAGGTTCTGCTACTGAACTAGGGCCCTGATTAATCAATTAGAGCTAATCTAAACACTTAAAAGGTTGTGCCGGATATATCTCAGATACCCCGATGAATTAAAAAAATTCAAAACTTGAATGACTTTCTTACTTCACAATAAAGGTGTCAAAAGTACCAATTTCTGTGACAGAGGACTATTCTATATCAGGGTTTCTCAACCTTGACAAGTTTTAAGACGTTTTTAGCCAGCATGCTGGCTGGGGAATTCTGGGAATTGAAGTCCACACATCTTAAAACTTGCCAAGGCTGAGAAACACCGTTCCACAGAATGTTATGTCTGTAGCTTGTGTTATCTTTCTTTTACAACCAAAGATCATGCCAGTTTAATCATCAGTTCAAGAGAGCTGCTCTAAAACATGCATGATGTATGGTGTCAAGGAATTGATGGTAACTCTTAATGTCTACTGTATAGCACCGACTGTCAATACAACCCTATCCTTGGCAACTCTACTCAGAAGCAAACCCACTGCCTTCAGTGGGATTCAACTCTAATTAAATGTGCATAAGATTGAAGCCTGAAATTGTTATTTCCACAGATCTGATAACCAAGGGCAACTTGTTTTAAAAAGCACATGCATTTTAATGAAGTGGCACTCTACAGACTCTTGTAAGAATTGCAGTTTGAACCTCATATTTCTAATAGTCTAAAGTGGGTGAAAAAAAAATCTTATCATGGCAATACCCACTACGTTCCCAATTTACGAAAGCAGTGGAAAAGCTCTTGTCTCCAAAGTTTTTTTTCCCCCATCCTTAAAAAAAGATTTTGGGATATAGTTTGGCACTTTGTCCCTTACACATTAACTTACTTTGGATTAAGTGAAAATATGAAAACACTTATAGCTCAAATCCTCAGTGTTTCTGCAAACTACCTGCAAGCTTAATGCAACAAATTCTAATAAACTGTCCACCTTGAGCATGGGTTTTGTGTAGTTCATTTATTTATTAATAAATAATACATTTATTATTTTGGCAACTCTCACAGAGAGAGAAACCACTGACCAGAAGGCAGCACATGAGAAATACGTAAGGCTTCCAAATTCAGCCATCTGATCCAAAGGCACATTTGGAATTAAGCTTTTTTTCCTCCCCTCTTAAACTCAGCAGGGTCACAAGCACATCTGAATAGTTTTTGCTGGGATAAATGTCAGAATGCAGGCAAGAGAGGCATCTCATCTAGGGAAGAACTCACCAAGAGCTTAAAATCAGGGTGAATGAGCTGTAATACTTTTCCTGATACAATAATTTTCTGCTTGACGGGAACTTGGTCTGTTTCATAGAGAAGGGCATGAGGCATGCACCCCACACCTCAAGCTGTGCCAACTCCACTGAATGATTTGGAAGGGAATGGCCATAGTTCAATGGTAAAAGATCTGATCTTGCATTCAGTAGCCCCAGGTAAGTTTCCTGCAGCTGGGAAAGACCTGAAGAACAACTGCCCATCAGTGCAACAGTTCTGAATGAGATAAACCAACAGCTTCACTTTGTAGTGGACTGTGTCCTATGCTCCTATGTGCCATTAGACGAGGTCTGATACTCATCTGTTCCTGAACAAAACAAAAAAGAATGTTTATTGCAAGAGCGCAAGAGAAGATGCTTACCATCTCTATTCTTTGCTGGCACTTGACACAGCACTGTAAGCCCCACCAAAACATAGTAAAAAAGGCCAAAGCAGTACTGGACAAAATGAATGACACCTCCAGAATAGATGCTAATGTGAAGACATTCTTTTAACCGTCTACAGCTATTCACCCAGACCAAAAGGCATACCAGGAAGGCTGACAGGAACTCGGCACCTAGAAACCCAGCAAAAGCACTGTGTAAATAACTCTATCTTTTCTTAGGCATGTCAAATGCAGCCCAAACAAACCACAAGATATCCAAGAAATCCCCAGAGCTGTTGCACACGTTAACATACAAAATTCTGTTGGGACAAATATGGGATCAGCCTCTGCATTTTTCTATCTCAAATAAAAGACATCAAGCTTCAAGTGATTCTGGGTGGCTAACAGAAGATTAAAAACATCAAAGTATGACAGAAGTCAATAAAAAACACACCAGACCAGAAGCCACTCATCACATGCTACATATTAAAACAGGCTCCAATAGCATCTTGGCCAACTGCCTGGAGAAAGAACCAGGTCTTCAAGGCCTTTTTGAAGGCTAGAAGGATCAGATCATCTGAATCTTCAGGACAGTGCTGTTCTGTAGGACAGACATAATGAAAAGAAGGTCCTAGCTCCTGTCAGTTGACACTGATGAATTGATAGGACCCAGAACATGCCAACCTTGCTGATCTAGTTGGACAGGAAGTGATAATTTGTCTGATTTTGTTGGACAAGCAGAGATGGTTTCAGAATCTACAGGCTCTGTGCTCTGAAAACTTTTATAGGTGACCACCAGCATCTTGACTTGCATCTGGAAGCCCAAGGGTAAGCAGTGCAGCTCACGTGGTAGCAGTGTTACGTGGGCGTACTGAGGTGGGCCCATAGCTTCTTGCATTTGTTCAAAGGCTCTCCTGGCCACAGTTGTCACCTGCTTTTCAAGCAGGAGCTGAGAGTTTAGGAGGATTCTCAAGTTTAGATGTCTCAGTGCTTTTCAATAAAAATGTCCTGTTCATGCAAAGCTGTGGGGAAGGCATCTACTCAATATGTTTTTTGTTGATTCAAAACATTAAAAAATGCCCTTCAACCTCCAGCATTGTTTTGGGTACAGTTACTATTTCTATCATGCCTCTTTTCTACCCTGGGTTTATCAGCTCTGGGCCACAAAACTCTAGATGGTCACTAGGTGCAATAGTCTGGATCTTTCCAGATCTGGTAGCCTATTCTTGTCCCCTGCTCTCCCTAACTGAAGGTGGGATACATGGAGAGAAATATATTTTAAAAATCTGTAGTGTAAATGATTTTGCTTGCCACTGATTTTATGCACAGAACAAATAACTTCAGCTTTACTAGAGAAGATATTCTGGAAAATCCAGAACATATTGGGACCCTCTCCACCAAATTATATACATACAGAAGAATTCATACCATTCCCTGAATGGTGGATAACTCTGTCTCCCTTCGTTCCATCAAGAATGCCAAGCAAGTCCTGAAGCCAAATGGGGAATGGCTGAGAGAAAAGCACACGCTGGATAAACAGCAGTAGCAGGAAGCCGTTCCAGGTCACAGACACAATATAAAAATGGTAGAACCACCTGCAGAAGGAAACACGGTCAGTTCAGGCCTAGTCTGCACATGGCACTGAATCAAAATGTGGTTGGTTTTTAAATTAGCATATTGTCTAAACCCTGCCAATTAAGACTTATTTAAGCAAATCGTGGCTTAACATACTAGTTCCCAACCTATGCAACTTTTATGTTAGAGGGCAAGAATTTTCTGTTCCAGGAGAGAAGGAACATAACCTCAGCAAGGATTAGCAAAGCAGTTTTTGTAACTTTAACAGACAGATTTATTTACAGGAAATGCATGAGGTGGGCAGGATGTGCACTGCATGCTACCAGGAGAATCAAGAAGAAAGTGCCCTACAGAACAAAGCCAGGACCTAAAACCTTGGGATTAGCAATCTCATGAACAAAGAGCAGGCAGAATCCGAGAATAAAGAGGGAACACGGGGAATTCCTAACTCTCACTGTATATAGTACCTCACTGCCCTTGTGGTCAGGTGGTTGCAAGGGACTGCAAGCTGATTTTGGAATGAAAATTTATTTTTCTTTCTCAAAATTTATGGAAATCAAAGGTAAGATCTGCTTCATCTTTCATTTCTTTAAAGTCTCATAGCTTTCCAAGAGGGAATAGGGCAATCATGATTTCTGACTGTATAGATCTCTCACATCTTATTCACGTGCAGATTCAGATCTCTGCCCCGGCCCCTTGTTGTAAATCCGAAAAGATTGCAAAATAGGGTATTATATTGCTTAATCAGCTTGTACAGTTCCATGTGTGTAGGCTGCTGCCTTTTTACCAATTGTAGATTCTGGGTACAGCCCCAGGTACTGTGCACTGCAGTTCTCTAACCCAGAGGTAATGAGGACAAGAGTGACTGTTGCCAAAGCCTCTCATTCCAAAAAGGGCAGGCAAGCTGAAGCTAGTCAAAGGCATTTCTGACTATGGCTTCCATCTCTGATCTAGGAGCAGCCACAAATCCAGGAGCACTCCAAGTGGCAGACTTGCTCCTTCCACAAACCAGCTGGCAGCCTACAAAAGCAACCACTCCGTCTTGCTAGACTTGCCCGTGCCATTAGATCCAGCAGGGAAGGTAAGCTACGCCAGCCAGGGACCTGCATTTGGTGGGCCCCAGGAGGCGGGCCTTCTCTGCCATGGCTCCCCCATTGTGGAATGTTCTCCCCCCTGAAGTGAGGCTCGCCCCTTCCCTGCTGTCATTTAGGAAGTCCCTCAAGACCTGCTTGTGTCATCAGGCCTGGGGGTCTTTGGGAGCCGGAGACGTTCTTAGAAGGCTCCACTGTAATTGATATTCTGCTCTCTCCATGGGGTTTTCTAAAATTTTATTCTAAAATTTTAAAACGTTTTGATAATGTTGCATTTTAATAATCACTTTTTTTATCTTTTATAATGATTGTTTTTATCTATTTGTTATTTTATTCAATTATGGTATGCCGCCCAGAGTCGCTTTGTGTGAGACGGGCAGCTATATAAATGTGATATATAAATAAATAAATAAAATAAATAAAACCCAAAACGTGCTTGGTTCTATCCAGACCCTTACAGCCTTAAGGTAAGGCAAAGACCACAACATCTCCTATTTGGCTCTGGTAGAGAGATGTAACAGATAGCAACAGCATGTTGAGGATGTTTTTCCTTGAACTGACCAATGATCTCCCCAGTAGCTTCCTATACAGGTACTCCTCGACTTTCAACCACAGTTGGGACTGGAACTTCCATTGCTAAGTGATGCGGTCGTTAAGTGAGTCACGCCCAATTTTAGGACCTTTTTTCCTGTGGTTGTTAAGTGAATCACAAGGTCATTAAGCAAATCCTGTTTCCCCCATTCACTTTGCTTGTTGGAAGGTTGGACCCATGGGAAGGTCACAAATGGGGATCATGTGACCCCAGGACATTGCAACCACTGGAAATACATGCCAGTTGCCAAGCACCTGAATTTTGGTCACGTGACCACAGGGACACTGCAATGGTCATAAGTGCCAGGACTGGCCATAAATCACGTTTTTCAGTGCTGTTGTAACTTTGAACGGTCATTAAATGAATGGTTGTAATTCGAGGACTACCTGTAGATGTTAAATAATGTGGGGAAAAGGACTAAGCCTTGTTAGGCAGCCCATATAAAAAGAGCCAAGACTTGAATGTTCATCTCCCACCACTGCTGATTGGCTGTCATCTCAAAAAGTGTGGGACCACTGTAAAACAGTACCCCAACTCCTTGTCCTCCTAGGCAGTCCAGAAGGATACCATGGTTGATGGTTTTACTCTTTCTCTCTCCTCCTCAACCCACTCCCTCATTCCCATCTATGTCACCTGAAAGAGACAGGAGGGGCAGTGACCCAGCCCACAGATGGCTGAAGTTGTCAAGAACCATGTCCTGATCTTCAGAATCCACAAGACTAAAAGAATCCCAGGAAACATTCCAAGATGTTGCCCTAATTATCTCCTCTAGTTCTGCCAATGTTGTATCCAACGCTAAGCAAATGCAAACAATATTCTCTGCAATACATCTTGCTCTGACCACAGCAGCCCAAAAGTAGATCTGTGAGTTGCCCAATCACAAAGGGTTCTGTACAGCATTCCATTGACGCAATAAGTACAGAGTAATATTGATGTTTTGCTTCCCTTTCCATTACTGTCTAGGCCTGAACATCATTTATCTTGCTGAGAAAACTGAAGGACGTATCCAGGCAGTGGCCAGGAGCCAAGACTGACTAGAAAGCAACCCCCCCCCCAAAAAAGTTTGTTAAAGACAAATTCTTAAGGACAGTGCCCACGAAAACTCATTTCATAAGTAATTTTTTAACCAGCAATATTTTATAAGACTATTTTTCTAAGATTTACTTCTCCAGAAAATATTATTTAAGGCGCAATCCTATGAAAAATTAAGTTCTACGGAAACAAGAATTGCTCATATAGACTCAGGCTTTTAAGGATAAGCTCCATTAATTTTACAAATATCAAAGGTTTTTTTTGTACTTATGTAGACCTGCTACTATTTTGTTTATTCTATATTTATATAAAAGTAAATTCTTAAATAATGAAATAGACATGAGAGAAAGTAATTGCCTAGTCGTAAATATTTATTGAGAAGAAAGTCACAAGGGAAACCATGTGAAAATAATTTTCTCCCTGGCTGGAATGCAAAGGTTTAACCCTAAAAGTTTCCCTTGAAGGCAGTGACTTGATAACATGACCGTTTAAGCCAAACAATGATAATAAAACCCCATTCGAAAGTTAATCCTGCATTAAATTTAATCACAAGGAAATCTAACTATAATTTCACTCTAACCTCATCACTTTTTTTCACCCTAGCAGACAATCCCGACATCACATAACTGTAAGATGACCACTAACTGTAGAAACTTGTCCAAATGCTAACCCTGCCATTAAATCTGACCCTCAACTGCTTTGCACCACCAAACTCAACCCTAACCTTAACTTTGTCCTAGCTGTAATCAAAATGTTTAACCTTAAAAAACAACAGCAGAGTAGCTCAGAGCTCTTGGCAGCTGAAACTGCCAAGAAATTCCAGAAATGAGATTACCAGCTGGAAAGTTTGCCTTTCTAGAATACACAGAGCCCCATAATAAGGGAGACTTCATTCTCCTTGAGTAAGTCCCCACCTGCCGAGCAATAAGCAGACTATCAACCCCACATCGGGAATTCCGGACTGAGAATCGGACAGGAACGGGTACGAGAAAACATTCTGCCCACGCTTGGCTGCACTCCGCAAATGCTCTCATGCACTCTGCAGTGCGGATTTATGAGAGCCCCGGCATGGAAAAGGACCTGTGGCGAAGCCCCGGGGGATGGAGCAGCTCCGCCGTATCCAGAGTCACTCCAGCAGACATTCTGGATACAGGGCAGGATAACTTCTGACTTGGCTTACCTCTTGGGGACATCAAAGGTCTGCAGAAAGGCAGGGCGCTGCCCACAGGCGGTCTTGGTCTTTCCGTACCGGATCAGGTCCTGAAAGAGCCCGGCGAGGCTGAGCGAGAGAACCCCCGGCGGTGCTTTCAGCAGCGGCGCCCGCAAAGCTAGCAGCGCGGCGAAGAAACCGGCGGACAGACCCAGCCACACCCCGGCCAACATGTCCCTCGCTGCGCAGATGCCGAACCCGTCCCTCCCTGCTCAACTAAATCAGAGCAATCCGCGAGAGTAGCCCCGAAGAGGGTTCCACTCCGGCAGCCAATGGAAGGGCGGGGGCGGAGCTGCGGGGCCAATCGGGACGACCGAACCGTCACTGACGGTAAGACCGTTTATGCCCGCCTCTAACTCGGCCTATCTCTGCCGGCAGCAGCTCGCGGAATTGCTGCTTTCGGTTTCCGTTTGCGCGCGCTCCGTTTGTGGGGTGTCTTCGAGGCAACGTGGGCGTGGCTGTATTGCAAGGTGGCGGTTTGGTGCCTGTTCTCTTCTGCTTTTCGGGTGCTTTTGAGCCATTTTCCCATTGGTTGCATACGTGTGGCTCCGAAGATGAGCGAAAAGCACGGGGCGTTGAGGATACAAGAGCTTTACAAGGCCCCGCCCGCGCCCCCCGCCCCAGTTCTGATTCGTTTTGAAACATTTGCTGTTTAAAACATGCGCACACGAAAGAAGAATAATCGCAGCGTTTCAGCGTCATCCGATTTGGTGCAGATTTGTGCATGTGATGTCGGTCGTGGAATGGTTCTAGTTTTAAAAAATCATTTATTTAACCTCATTGGCCGCTAGTAGGTATTTATTTGATTGATTAAATTGATTGGCTGCCCACTTCCAATGGAGTTTGGGCGGTGCACAACACGTAAAAGAAAAAACGACATATAGTCAGTCGCCTTGTGCAGGAGAATCAAAAATACCAGGACTTCGTCTGATCCAGTTATTACTTTCAGACCTGCTAATCTGAAGTAGGGTCACTACTGAGCGCAAAGATTTGGTAATTCTGGAGGCTGAGCAGACGTGGTTGTGGTGGTAACTAAGAGCAGAGTATAGTAATCTTAAATAAAGCTAAGCAGGGTTGGAATTGTTTTTTGGATGGGAAAAAGACTAGGCTCTAGGCTAGACAGGGAGATTGAAAAAAACACCCCAGAGCAGTGATGGCAAACCTATGACGTGCGTGTCAAAGGTGACACGCCACGACGTTTTGGGTGACACGCCAGCATTCATCACACCCGACAACAACTATTCTCCCTGTTTGAGTTACCAAAGAAGCTGAGTTTGTTTTACTCATATTTCATT